GTTCACTGAACAGCAATTACACTTTGGAAGAGTCATCACTACAAAGTGCTTGGCACAGAAGGAGTGGAATCACTGGCTGCTGGCTCATCCCGAACCTCATGTGCACACACCAACAGTCACCCTTGCTGAGCCACAGCATTTAAAACTTGAGGGCTCAGTTTTAAGTGGGGAGCACCACCTGTGAAAACGAACAGACCATCCCTGAAGCCTGCAGGGCAGCTGCATCCCCCTCCACATCTTTCTAACTTACACCTCTAACTGGTTCAAGTCCATCTGAGGTAAACTCCTTATCAACCTAAATTCTGTCTCAAGCTCTCAGGTGAGGGGGGTGAGGCATGAGGGCTCCCCAGCAGGAGAACAGGAGAAGGAGCTGAGCAGGCTCCCAGACACAGCAGAGCCACCAGCTCATCCAGAAGCAGGAGTGTGCAACAAAGCTTTAGTTCCAACTGCATTTCTGGCACCACCCAACAGTAATGTGGACCCCTCCCTCCAGTACAAGGAACTCTGGAAGATGGCACCAGCAAAGCAACCCAAGTGTTTAACATTTCTTAGGAAATTAATGAGATTAAATATGATGGGGACAAAGAATATAATATTTAAGTCTTCAGACTTGCTGCCAGAGGAGATGAATGATGACAAATCAGAAACTGAGTCCAGTTTCTCCCTGTTTTCCTGCCCTAGCCCACTCCCACAGAGGGAAGTAAAAATATCTTCACTCTAGTTGGTTTAAACTAAAAAGTAAATCCCATATTACATGCACTGCAGCAGATATTTTTGAAACTGGCATTTTTGAAATGCAACATCGTCACAAAGGTGAATTTAAACTAAAAAGTAAATCCCATATTACATGCACTGCAGCAGATATTTTTGAAATGCAACATCATCACAATTGGTGATGTTACAGATGTCCAAAGGAATCAGATTTCTCCAGCTCCCAAAGACAGAGCTTGAAAGGCTCCTATATGCCCAATCCTTAAAAAAAAAACCCAAAACAAAAACAAAACCCTTCTACATAGTCTATAGCTTATAGCCAAATTCCTTACATAGGACTCTGGGAATGCAGATTGAAGCAACTCTATAGGGGAAAAGGAAACATGAATACAGTTCATGCCCCTCTAATCAGTATTGCTGTGAAACAAAAACAAAGCTTTCCACCTGAATACCTTCATATAATTCATGCTGAAGGATACAAGAAATCCTTTACCTGCATATACCTCTGACCAGGCCTTCCCTACATCTTCAGAACTTCTCTGTATCTTGTCAAAAATGCTACTTTACCTTACCTTCAAGACAGTAAAAATTGCCATCAAACTTTTTAAGTCCTAATTTTTCAGTTTTAAATAAAAGCTAAAGCAATCTAGTGATAACTAAACTGTATCACAGAGATGCAATTGAAATAACTGTAAAATTAATAGTGGATTTTGGAACACCTTAGATCACACTAATTTTAGATTATTCTATGAAAAGATGAAAGAGGAAAATGGCAGACGAGGGCACACTGATTTCTGAGGAATCATACAATGAAGAAACATGACTAGAAAATGATTGATTCAAGCTTGGGTGAAGAAATAGACCATGATTATTAAAAAAAAAAAATATTTCCAAGTCTTACTGTCATTGTATTGTACAGTCTCTAGGTGAAGAGACCCTTCACCTGAATGCAAAAACATAGCTCTACCTGGAAATGCCACACTTGGTATCCAACCTGAGTGCTTCAGGAGTAAAAACCTATTCTTTATCCCCTTCTCTGACTTCTGGTAGAAAAATATGCACACACACCACCAAAGTTTAGCAAAGTTTCAAACACACCACTGCTTAGCAAAGTTTTGAACATTAAACTCTTCTAAACAACATGCAAATGGATCTATCTTAAAAAAAAACCCCAAAACCACAAAAAAACAAAGAAACATTGTTTCTGTTTATGAAAACAGAAACAATGGATTAAAATAAATCGAAACAATAACAATATTACAACAATAATAATGGATTCAAACAAACTCTCTTCTGAACTCTAGGAAAACATAGTTTGAAAATACCCATTATCAAAAAGACATTTTAATTTCTTCACTACCTGATCCTAAACACAGAGGTCTGTAACATTCAGCAGGTTTGCACAAATATCCTTTATAAGATTTCTATTCAAGCAAGAGCTTTATGCACTGCCTGCATGATCAGGGTTTAATGCCAAAACAAAACAGCAATTGCATGCTGACTGGAGAGCTATTTCAGGAAGAAAGCAAGTCATGGTGGAGGAAGAACTCTATTCATCACTTTTGAAAAAGTTGAAAGCTCAGTTTCACAGTAGTGCCCTGACAGATGTGATGACACTGCTTTTGCCTCTTTGCAGCTGTCAGCTATCTAACAATCATCTCTCTCATTGGTTTCACAGCTCTCCTGAAGAACACCTCAAAGCTGCCATGGAGCAGCTCTAACTCCACTCCTCTGGAATACCCTAAGGGAGTGGCTTCAAGAAGCACTGCTGGTCAGAGAGGTGGAAACCCAATCTCCCAAACCAAACCATGGGCCAAGAGGAGAGAACAGAGAGCAGGGACATCTTTCTTCTAGCAGCTATAACATTAAAAAAACCCCAAGACCAAACCACAGAACCTTCACAGCACGCTGTCATAATGGTAACCTCCTGTCTCAGAAATTCAAGCACTTGCCCTGACAACATCAGTAGGATCTGGTTTATTGCAGTCCTTGGATAATTTTTGAGACAGGTGCCTCGCCCTGTGCATCCATTTCTAGCCAGTAAGAGCTTCATACTTCAAGCCCTTATGCATTTCCAGAGTACTGATTTTTTTCCTTTCCAGACTGGTAAGGAAGTCTACCACAGTATTTCTTCAGAGTAATAGTTCAGTTGTCATAAACCTTTGTCCATCTGCCTTTTCTATGAGAATGGGAGGCTGGCTCTGGAAGCAGAGAGGATGCTGCAATCACACACCACTACATTTGCTGAGTTTCTGTCCCAGCACTGTTGGCTTGGCATCCTCTACAGCACTGAATTCACAAACTAAACAGTGAACTTCCTAACTTCAACTCTACTTTCATGTATAAGCTTATTCATACTCATGCTGGCACTGCCTTTGCCTCATTAAGGAACTGCTGACACCTCTTCTGAACTCAACACATCTTACTCGAACCTACTCCACTTGCATAGATGCTGTTTATTAGGGAGGATGTATGCATTAAAATTTGATTTTTGTTTCTTCACGGTTCAGCTGTTCCTGCTGTTTATCTCTATCCAAAGTAACAATTAGCCAGTAGGAAAATTACTATCGTGTCACAAACAGAGGATTACAACTTCAGGTAGGCAATCAAACAGCAGGGCACCATGAACACAGAAGAAACAGAAACGCTGCTGGGACACAAATGACCTTGGCAACAGACAGAGGTGAGAGATGAGAAAAGAAATGACAGCCATATGATTTATAGACTTAATGCTTCTTCAAAGTGTCCCATTAAGCATGAAGTATACAAAAATTTGCAAAAGCACATGCCACTATTTTGAGGTTAATTTGCAGAAATTACTGTAACAATTCTGTGACATCACAAACAACAGCTATTTCTGTGCTGTCATTTGAACTAGACTGAACATCAAATTAAAGCCAAATACATGGTATATTAAGCATGGGTATGATTGTTATTTATTAAAATAAGCTAATCAGGAAACAGTTTCTCCCTATACTCGAGAGCCAACTTAACTTTTAAAATTTGGGGTTTAACAGCCACAACATAAGTATGAAAAGTTACACATGCCATTTAAATAAGTATATTTGTATCTCTGCAAACAGGATACAATATGGCAAACAGATGCACAGGGTTAAAAAAAAAAGGCTATGGATGAGATGAAAATCTTTGTTTTCCAGATTACTGAGCAACTGGAGACTGAGCAGCTACTTCAACCTACACCACCTTTAGACTAACTTTCATCAAAACACTCTAATGGGGAGGAACTCTCTAAATCAAAATGTGGTTGATTAACTGTTAGCAATTAATCTCTTGCCCATCTAGTATGAAAAAAGTGAAAATCAAGTAAACAGAAACATTATGCATGCAAGCACCACAGAGGATTTCTTCCCAGAAAGACTGAACACAGATAATAGTTACTGTAGTTAGGTTTACAGCATTTAAAAAAAATAAAAAAAAAAATAAAAATCCAGTTTTCTTTCAGATTGTGCCCTGCAAGACAAGAAATTTTTTTGGAGCCAGGAAGTAGAATCAAAATTCTCAGCTACTTTAAGTAACATGCCCTCGTAAGGCACTCGACTGCTCCTTTAAAGCTGTATCAACATCCGTGGTGGCTCACCAGAGAAACACAAACTTCTCTCAAGTCCCAGCGCAGCGCCAGCCTAGCTGAGAGCTGAGCCTTCAGTGCTCCCCTCGCTGCCTCGGCTGCCGGGAGAGAGGGTCGGTGCAGCAGCGCTCCCCGGGCATTCCCCGCTCCCGCAGCCGAGCACGCCGCAGGATGGAACCGCGGGGGGGAGCGGCACCGGCCCGGCGATGGGCACCGCGGGACCAGCCTGACACCGCCGGGGCCGAGCTCTGCCCCAGAGCCGCTGGTGCCCACGGACTGCTGGGCTTGCAGAGAGACACGGGGGGAGCGTGCGATAGTTTAGGGGGATCCTTAAAAAAAAAAAAATAAAAAAAAAAATATATATATATATATATATAAAATAAAAAAATATAAAAAAAAAAGGAATAAAAAATAAAATAAAAAGGAAAAAAAAACTTGAAAACAACAATGGGGCGGCTCGGGACGCGCGGCCGGTGGCCGCTGGCAGGGCGGGCTGCTCCCGGCGCGGCTCGGGAAGTTGCTCAGGAGCCGGGGAGGCGGCGGCGGCCGGGAGCGAGGGAGGGAGCGCTGCCCCCGCGCCGGGCCCCGCGCCCCGCCGGTAGCCAGGCCTCGCCGCTCCCCTCCCGCACGCCCAAACATGGCCCCTCGCCACCAACCCGGCAACTTTCCCCCTGCCCCTCCCGCCGCCGCCCACCCCGCTCACCTCGCATCAGGGAACAAAAACTGCAGGCGAGTAGGCTGCGCAGGACGGCCCCCATCTTCCCTCCCTCCTCGCTCTCACCGGCGGGGAGGCGGCGGCGGGGAGCAGCACCTCCGCTGCCAGTTCATGCTTCCAGGCGGGCGGGGGAGGCGGCGGGGAAGGGGAGGGCGGGAGGCGGGGAAGGGCGGCCGCGGAGATCCCCCCTCGCCGGTCCCTAGCAGGCCACTGGCCCCGGCGTGCCGCCGCGGGAGCGGGCGCTGCCCTCCATGCCGGCTGCTGCTGCCGCCGCCTCACCGCGACCGCCGCGGTGCTTCCCCCATCCACCCTCCGCCTCCGCCGGGCGCGCACAGGCGCAGGGATACAGTCCTCCTCCTCCTTCTCCTCCTCCTCTTCCTTCTCCTCCTCCTCTCGCGCCGTGCCCGGCCGGCTCCCGGCGCAGCGCCCGCCCCCCGGCACCGCTCCCGTCGGGGAGGGCGGGAGCGGAGGGGCGGGGGCGCGCAGCTCTCCTCTGCCGGGCGGGATCGCGCACACCCCCGGCAGCTCCGCAGCCGGCAGAACCCCGGCGGGGAGCGCGGCCCGGGGGGGCTCCCGAAGGGAGGGAGGTGAGCGGGGTTACGGCACCTCCCGAGCACAGGGACGGGGCGAGGTGGGGGGTAGCCGCATTCCAGCGGGACTACTTTGCCTCCCCTCGCCCCCTCCGCCGCCTGCGATGCGTTCAGCCCTGGCCCGTGAGGACGGGACTACTTTTTGCCACAGAGCTGCGGCGGCGTCCGAGCGGCAGCACAAAGGCTGCGATCCCGATCCCCATCCCGATCCCGACCCCCATCCCGATCCTGCTGCTGCTCCTGGGACGGGCTGTAACGCCGGAGCATCGCCTGGGGGGCGGGCGGCAGGCAGGCAGGGCGGCAAAATGAAGTTACGGTCCGTGCCCCCAGTGTGCGGGCTGAAAAGCCATAAATCCCGGCCTTTCCCAGAGCAGAGGGAGCAGGCGTTCCTTATCAGCAGGAATTGCTGCCCGGCTGATGTAATGATCCGTGATTTATTTCCCAGCGCTTTTGGGGGTGCTCTCCGTTTATTGTCCCCCTTGCTAAAGTAAATGTGGTGGGCTGGGTTTGTGCTGCTTAGAGCGGTGTTACCAATAATGTGAGTGGCCAACGTGCTGTGTTTAAACACAGTCTTTTTCCTTCTTTCATAGTTAAGATTTTGTAATACACCCTCAATTGGGAAAAAAAAAAAAAAAAACCAAAACCAAACAAGCACTTCCCTCCTTACCTTCTTTGTTTGCTCCTGACAATGTAAAATACAGCTTTCTTGCATTTCCTCTAGATGAGAAAATCTACTTCATGATTTCAACGCTTTCTTTCAGTCTAGACGTCTACATCACATTCTCCCTCCCTCACAGAACGTGACAGCTGGTGAGTAGAATAATGATATGAAGCAGAACAACTTAGAGCAACATTTGAGGCACTTACATTCCAAAATGGGTATTATTTTCAGGATTATTAGAAACTCACAGAAACATTTAACTTCTACCTTCATATGTATTCAACATATATTTTCACAGCTTTTCTTGTTATTACAGTAGGAGATAACATCTGGGCCAGATAAAAGGCCTGGGCATTGCAGGCTGACTCTAAAGGGCTCCTGGTCTCATGTGATATTATCAGATTCTCAGCTTTTACTGGGGAAATTTTTTTTTTAAATAGAAGAAAACAGAGGGATTTTTAAAAATGAAGTGTATTTCCAACTTTCAAGGTTGCAAAAAAAAAATTTTTTTGAAAATGTAAACAATTTGGATCAACATCAATATCTGCCTGAGGCCAGGTCTACATTACAAAATTCTGTCCTTGACTGTCTGCTGGGTGAAATAGCCCCCTCTGATACTGTGCTGTCAGCTGGGAGGATTAGCAAACTTGAGCAAGATCCACATGGATAATGGATGGGAAGACTTGCCATACAAAAATGTACCATGGAGAAGAGAGAACCTGTGTCCAATCCTTGTTTGTCACCTCTAGATTTTGCAGAAGCAGGCAAAAGAAGCACACTTTTATATTTATTTCCACCATGTAAAAGGAAAATGAAGTTGTTGTTGGTTTGGGGTTTGGGATTTTTTTTCCCCTCACAGTGTTTCCTTATACTTTTTCCATACTCATAGTGTTCCACAATCTGTCATTAACCTCTTGAGTAGAATGGCAGATCTGTAATGAATTCTTTGTATCTTAATCATACAGTGCACAGCTGAGGAAAACCTCAAGCCTGCACCCCTGCATGACAAAAACACATTTCTCCACATGCCATTCCCTCTCACATCTTATCTGTTTCTGCTGGAAACACTCTGGTGTCTTTACTATCTCCCTTGGGAGCCTGATCCCCTGCCTGGTTGCTCTGACTCTTAAAGACATCTTCCCTGCTGCCCAAGCTGACTGGTTTTATTTTTAGCTTTTGAACACTTGTATGCTGTCACTGGTGCATTTTTGCCATTTTTCTATAATTCAAACCCTTTCCTACTTGGATTTCCTCTAAGCCAGTTAATGATTATTGGCTTCACCTCCCTCAGCCTAGCCCCTTTCCCCACAGCCTGAATCCTCCTCTATCTCTTCCAGCCCAAGTATCATAAAATCACAGAATCACAGAATGGTTTGGATTGGAAGGGGCCTTAAAGAACATCTAGTTCCAAACCCCTGCCATGGACAGGAATACCTTTCACTGTCCCACGTTGCTCCTAAGTCTAAGTCCAACCTGGCCTTGGACACTTCCAGGGATGGGGCAGCCACAGCTTCTCTGGGCACCCTGTGCCAGGGCCTGACCACCCTCACAGAGAAGATTTTCCTGATGTTTGACCTAGATCTGCCCTGTTTCAGTTTGAAGCCATTCCCCCTTGTCCTATCACAGTATGTTCTTGTAAATAGTCCCTCTTCATCCTTCTTATATGCTTCCCTGCTGGAAGGCACCAATTACGTCACTGGCATGGTTTAGGAATGGTGCTCCCCAATTTAGTGCTCCCACCAAGACTCTCCAACCCATGTGCTGTCACTCACTCCCCCAAATCCCTTCTCCCCTCTGCAGCAGGGTGGAGAGGAGAATTGGAGGCACAAAAGGCAAAGATCATGGGTTGGGATAAGAACAATTCACTGGAAACAGCGATGAGATAAGAAAATGAGCAGTAACAGCACTATAGTAATGACAGAGAGTATGAAAAAAGAAACATTCTTGCTCACTGCAGGAGCCCCAACAAGAGACCATAAATTGTTCCCTCTGGTTCAGAACCTGGGCCTCCCCACTTCTCTATTCAACTTAGCTACTCGACTGGAAGGAGCCCCTTCTCCTCAGAAGAGACTCCCTGTCCCTCACCCCTAGAACTGACAGAGGGTGTATAGGATAACTTCCATGTCCTTGCCGTGACCTTTTCCGGCTACTACAAAAATTAACCCTCTTGGGGGGAAGCAGGACAGTCACCTAGAAGCCTTCTCTTTTCCAGGCTGAACAATCCCAGTTCTCCCAGTCTTTCCTCACAGCAGAGGTGCTCCATCCCTTTATTCATCTTGTTGGCCTTCTCTGGACTCATTCCAACAGGCTGAGGCCTTTCCTGTGCTGGACACCACTTCCCATGGGCCACTTCTGGGGCTTGTCCAGGTCCCTCTGGATTGGCCTGTCCTTTAGGTATGTCCCTGCACCCTCAGCTTGGTGTCATCTGCAAACCTGCTGATGGTGCACTCAATCCCTTCATCTGTGCTATTAATGAAGATATTTAAAGAACTCTGGTCCAATATGGACTCCTGAGGGACACCACTTGTCACTGAGGTACATCAAGACTCTGAGCCATTGATCACTACCCCCTGCAAAAATGGCCTTTTTTGAACCCTTTTCCCTATCAGTGCTTAGGGTTCAAGACCAAGTCTATCTCCTAAAGGTTTGTCAGCTTTACTTCTAATTCATCCATGTAGCATTGAGTCCATAGCAGAGACTTTTACAAAGTAAAATAGGAGGCAAGATTAGCACACACAAAAAAGCCTCCAACAGGCATGATTCCTCTGAGGTGATTATGTTCCTTTATTTGAGCTTAAAGTCAAAGTAAGTGGAGAGGGAATGTCTATTTTATTTTAGTAAGAAGCTCCCCTTGTTGGTCGCAGTTATTTTCATTCACCTTAGAAAGAGAAACCTTGGTTTGCTGGCTCAGATCCAGCTGAGGCTGAGAAACCTGGACAGCTTTACTCTTACCTCTGAGCTTGGATGGTGGCTCAATGACACAAGAGTTTTCATGGGATTGTTTTTGGACTTGGGCAAGTTCCCTGGTTTAGTTGGTGGCCCAGCTTCATGAGCAGTTGTGTCAGCTCCCAGGACAGCAAGGGACAGCAGCTGGAGCTTATGAAACCAGCAGTGACTGCCAAAGTCACTCCGCTTTTGAACTGTGCCCCGAGTTTGAGTGGAGTCAGTGGGATCTTCCGTAGAACCAGAACCAAAGTCCCTAATGAGCAAATGCTGTTGGAAGAAGATGGATGCTCAGCAAATGAATTTGTGGCTGCCCACATCACAGAAGCCACTATCATAATCAGCTTTCTCATGGAGTGTTTCAACAAGAATTAATGGGCATAGCGTGCTGAAATGCTGGTCCCTCTGAAGGCAACGGTAAAGTTCTCAGTGATTTCAAAAGGGCCAGGGTTTCATACTGAAACTCAAGCTCAAATCCTCATGCCCCCAGCAGGAAAGTCTGCAGCACAGGAGCTGGGGAAATGGGATGTAATGTTGCCATCCAATAATGCCTGTTACAATAATTTCACAAAATAAAATAGGGCACCCTGAACTGTGACATCATCATCATCATCTGGCCACATTGCCAGATACAGTTTATAAAGAAAAATGTTTCATCCAACTCTTCCTCAAAACAAGGTTAGTTGTAATAAATATGATAGAAATGTCTGACATGGTTTATCCTATTCCAAGAGTGCAATGGGTTCAGTGGCATTCCTTCTTCAATGAATAGAGGACCAGATCACGGAATAATAAAGAATTTCTTCCTAATATTTGCATTCTCCAGCTGGAACCCATTCTCCCTTGTCCTATCACTAATGCCCTAGTGAAAAGCCCCTCTCCATCTGTAAGCCCCCTTCAGGCACTAGAAGGCTTGAAGCCTCCTCTTCTCCAGGCTGAACAACCCCAACTCTCTCAACCTGCATTCGTGGTGCTCCAGCCCCGAGCTCATCCCTCACCTCTGGATCCAGTGTGGGGGGGCCCAGAGAAGGATGCAGGACTCCAGGTGGAGTCTCATGAGAGCAGACTCACCTCCCTCAGTGATCACGTTTTCCTTCTTGAAGTTCAGTCACAAGCATTGATACTTTCCCCCTCACTTTTCCTCCCGTGCCATATAAACGGCACCTTTTTACCAGGATATAGGTGCCTTACAAGCAGATTTCCTTGAACAGAGAGTCATCTCTCTAGTCCAGCAATTTTCTCCAAGCATCAAACCTGACTTGTTTTTGCCATTACTATCACCATAAACAAATCACAGTAAAAATTAGCACTTCCACAAATTCTGGGGCAATTTTCTCACCAAATAGCCCGTCAAATCCCCTTTTTTTTAATCACACATGGAGTTAGATTTTCTCCTTGCATTTCAGTACTATTTTATTATTCCCCTCAAGTCTCCCCTTCCCCCCTCAATACCCATCCTTTCTTTCCCATCTTCTCTACCAGAAGAGGTTGCCTGGTGCCCAGGATGAGAACTGCGTTTCTTTGTGGCTGAAAAAAAATCCTTGCAACAAAAACTTCACAGAGGAGAAGGTGCTTGAGTTCAACAGCCCGTACAGGCAAGCTAGTCTAACAGAAATCCAGCAATATCCCCACAGGGAAATATGAAATAAGATGACCTGGAAGGCTTGGGCATTTTCTTTGTGACTTTGGAGGAGTGTTTGGACTCCTGCTGGTGGTGCATTCAAGGTCAGGCTATCTACCTACTACCTCTTTTCTCCTCTCCCATCTCCCAGGGAGTTGAAAATAGCACTGCCTGAGGATACGCTTCTTCAGCAGTCATGTTTTTTAGTGTGAACCATGCAGAATTCTGATTTTAATTTGTCACTGCCCACCACCAGACCACAGGGCATGTCCAAGACTTTCCTTAGGAATACTTAGCTGTGGCTACGTTTCAAAGCCATATTACAAAAATGTCATTTGAGAAAGTCACTGTTCTAAAATTTGTAAAGTGCTTTAATGCTATGTTGATACAGCAAAAACATCCTTTTAAAAAAGCTCACATTTCAGGCTGACAGACACCAAAACATTATTTTGTTTTAGCTTGCTCAGCTTTTCAAAACCAGTCAGCATCTGGGCTCTATTAACCATAACGTGCATGCCTTTTAAGCAACAACAATTTAAGAATATTTCCTTTTCAACCCCCTTTCAAACCCCTTCAGCATTTTGCAATATGCATAATATTTAAGAATTCTGCTTTGCACTGCAGCCTTTGAAGTTTAAAAATTAGTTACTGGTAAAGCCTTGTACATTTTCTTGCACTCTTTTAGTCACAGGGATTAGTGACTAGAATTTATGCCTATGGTCAAGAAAGGTAAGTCATTGTGTCACAATAATTAGCAATCTTTCCTACAATAGTTTTCAATCTTTATGTGTGTCTTATGGTGTGACACACCATGTGTGAGCAGAGAAGAGCTCATTTGCCACCTGCAGTAGCCACTTCTGGGCTAAAGTACTCTACCACAAAGTGCAATGTATGGCAAGTAGTGAGACCCATCCCTCTTCATTCAGACTTTGTGAGGAAGAGTCATGTTTATATTTCCTACTTGTATTTCATATTTATAGCCATGTTCATGTTATATTTATGTTGATATTAATATATTTATTTTTACATTCATATATAAATCAGTCTGGAGTTCAGCAAAGACACTAAGCACCTCAAGAATATGGGTATGGAGCATCAACAATGGTATCTCTTCAGGGGTGTTGTTATTATGAGCTGTTAGTCAAGTTCCCAAAATAGGCTAGAAAACCACGCTGAGTTCCTCAGAGCAGGAAAGATTGCCCTCTAATGGTTAATCTCTAGGTTTAATGTCTGCACTGTTTTATGAAGTGCTCCTCTTCTGTGTGATTTGTAAAGTAAGGCCACACAAATGCAAGATGTTGGAACAATTTATTATTTCAAGGAAAACCCAAATCTTTGTTATACTCTTAACTGGTGAATAAATAAATTATTAAAAACAAAGATGAAGGCATATTCTTGATAACATTTTCATTAAACTACCATTAGCCAGGGTTTCTCAAGGAAGAGGGATACCTCTGACAATTCAGAACTATTACTCATGCTGGATTTGACAAATTTTATATTTCACTGTGGGAAATGTTTCAAGGTCTGAAAAATGGCATGAAAGATATCCAGTTTATTTCAGTATCATAAAACTTACTGTGAATGCCTTAGAGATTGATCTTACTCTTGCAGGAGTAAACTACAAGGAACAAAATTCTTAAGAAAGTCTTTAAATCCACTAATCACAAGGCATTGCCTGTTACAACAGGGATGCGTGTGGATCCTTAAACTTGCACTGGCTGCATATATAAAGGTTTCTGTGACTTATGGCCTGTAACTCATTCTTCACGTGATGAGGGGGTAGAAGAAGCAATTATACAGGGCTGAAGTGTCATTTTCATCATTTCCATTTTCATCAGCTCTTTGAATAATTTCCTTGCAGTGTAGATTTCAATAAATGCTCTTCCAATATAGCTGGCAACTAAATGTAGATACGTGACAAAGGAAAACTCAGAGAAACTAAGACCCGGTCCCCAAATATATTTATTAAAAATGTAGTGGCTGCTATGAAGACATTATTGAAAGACGATAATATTCTATTTTGGAATAATTAGATTATATTTTCTCCTCTCAAGAAGAAACAGTGATTAGAGTGAGGTTATCCAATCCATTCCTCATCCTTCCTTTTTCTACCCTCTCCCCAGTCAAAACCACAAAGACAGTATTTGGTCACATGGATCTTTGCATAAAAGACAGGGAATTGTGTCTGAATAGCCCTGACTCGTAAAGCTCCTTCCAATGCCTTTTTCAGTGTCAGAGCTTTGCAGTTAATGCAACTTCTACTATTTTTTTTCCTTATTGCAATTGTGAAAAATCTAATACCTTTACAACCATTTGAAAAGGGCTGACACAGAGCAAAATCCCCGTTTAATCTCAGCATATTAAGAAATCTCTTTTTTTGAACAATACATTTAAAGTGCTATTTTCCCAAAACACTTTTTTTTCTTTCAAGATAACCAAAGCTCTAAGTGTTGAAAGGAACTATGATTTAGAGTCCTATCTTCACTTGTGGTTTAAGAATCCTGGCACTTTTAACAGGAAGAAAGAGCTAGTATATGTATGGCCTAAGGTACACTGTAGCAGCAAATAATTCAATATAGGAAAAGGTGTTCCAGTCACCACAGTTAAAAACCCAAAACAATGGGAACCGCAGACCAAAACCACTTAAAGATAGGAGACAAAAATGTTTGCAGACACTTGGCCTTGTCAAATTTCTTCCTCTGACATTTCTGGTTTAGGCACCCGTTGCTTTCACCCTGTGCACCCCAGAGACTACAGCAGACTCCTTGGCATTACATGGGAGAGCTAAAAAGCCTTTCCAAGAAAAGAGGGTAAAATGAGTCAGCTTTGGCTAAACCAAGAGCTGATTCCAACTGATGCTGGCATTAGCTGTATAAGCCAGCTGTTGGGTGGAAAGGTTTCCAGGCTTCCTGCAGGAAAATGAAAAGCAAAGGAAAAGTAAGAAAAGAGAAGCTTGAGCAGAGAACAGGGAATACCCGCTGGAGGTTAAAAAAAAAACAAAACCCAAAACCAAAAAACCAAACCATACCCCCCCAAAAAAAAAGAAAAAAAAGAAAAAAAGGAAGAAAGAAGGACAAGGAGGTGAATAAAAACATCAGAACCATAGCCTTCACAGATGCCACACCCCTCCCACATTCCACAGCCCTCTCAGCACCCCCAGCCCTTACAGCCCCCATGGCATTCACAGCCCCTCATTGCCTCAGAGCACCCATAGCCCCCAAAGACCTCACAGACCCCAAAGCCCTTCCAAGATCCTCTAGCCACCACTGCTTACAGACCCCATAGCCCTTACAGCATTCAAAACCCCCTGAGACCTCGTAGACCTCACACCTTCATAGCACTCAAACACTCCATAACCCTCAGTGCCCCTCACAGACCCTGTAGTTCTCAGAGACCCTATAGCCCTAAACCCTTCACAGCCACCACAGCCCTCACTGACCCCACAGCCAGCACAGCCCCCACTGCCCTAAGAGTAGGCTCTGGTGGCATTGAAAAGCTAGATTTGGAAGCTTTAAACACGTAACTTTTTTATTACTATGTTTTTTTGGAAACTGAAGTTTACCATGCATTGATAAACTCTGATTAATGTCTCATTGTCACATGAACAGAAGCAAAAATAAATTAATTTACATTATATTGGAAAGCTAGCACCTCACAAATTCCATGCATTTCTTTTGTACAGTGACTTGTTGTAGCTTCCCACATTTACTGTGTTTGCTGCCCAGGATCACCTTCTTCTGTGTTCCAAATGCCTGATGGTTTAGAAAGTCAGGAGATGCTCCAGGCAAGAGGAAGTGACCTGTACTGTACCTGCCTGCAGCACACAGACACTTCTTTGATTGCTGCTTTTGCTATTGTCAATGCTCCTGAAATAATTTTCATTACTATCACCAGGGTTACCCATTTTTGGCATCTGCAAAAACATCCCAGAACTTAACTACACTTGAATTCACCCTTGAGATGGAGTGTCTGGCATATTTCTTGAAAAGTTGCCAGATGTAGCAACTCTGCTAGATGCAGCATGTGGATAGACTTCAGCATTCAGGCTTTCACTTTTCAAACTCTACCATCCTTTATAATGTTCACTTGAATGGGGTGTACCCTTGCTTGATGCTTTGTCAGTGTAGGAAAGCCCCATGTGTATCTTGTTGAGCAGGGAGAAGAATGGAGTGAGCTGTTCTCATGGGTTTAAAACTCTATCTCATAAGCAAATTATTTTTTGCCCTTTCTTTTTTGCTTTTCAGAGCACTCCATAAAGACAACATACAGTGTGTGCCAAATCTGGAGTCCTTCCAGAAGTACTGCCTGAGTTATCACATGGTGGAAAAACATTTGAACTCCTTATTTCATGCCCCAGAACCAAAGAAGGACAACATTGTCCTAGTTAAATAATCATAAGCAGCCGGGAAAATGTTCTACAGATTATTTCAAAAATTTTACCTCTGGACTGAGATGTTCTGTCATCCCGTGTGGCAATTGTTTTGAACAGTTAATGAGCCTGTAAGTGGGAGAACTTATAAACATGTGCTGGAAGACCTCCCAGCTGACACCAGCATGAGCTGCACTGACAAAGACACATAAGACATGGCCACTGTAGTAAAGGGATCATCTCATTCCGTTTACTTGGAGGACCCAAACTAAACTGCATCCTTACTTGGAGGATCAGAAAAACCTTGCTTGTAGGATCCAAATACTTACACACAAGTATGTCAGTAGTGTTGGTGGAACTTGGGTTTCAGGAAAAAAAAAGCTCTTTCATAAAAGCAAACAGAAAAATTTACTCAGAAACTAATTCAACAGCAGGCAATCCTATAGGAGATCTCTGTCATAGTGAGGGGTTTCCACCATCTTCGCAGCACAAGAGTGTATGTTTAAACTTTGTGCCAACTTTCCATCTAGGGGTGGTTGAGAATTGTTGCAAAAGTCACAGTGTCAAAGTCTAAGCTCCACTGATCACATCCTTTTTTCTGTGCAAGTGAAAGCACAGAGAAACTCTGGTGATGCTCCCGGTAACTTTCAGCCAGAATTCAGCTGCTACTCTGAGGTAGCTGGTACCAAAGCATCTTACAAGGAGTTATTTTACCTCGTATTACCATCTTTACCATCATAGCATTGTGATGAAACACTGTTTTGGTCTTCAGAGTGACTGTTCAAATCAGCAAATGTTTCAAAACATTCCTTATGGTTTAGTCAGTTGTTCTGGATGTTAACTGCTTGTTAAATGTCTTTGAGAAAATATAGCATGCACAAATTATCTGATTACTACTTATGGATATTATTGGTATGACAGAATTTTCAATTTTCTTCATCGATTTTCTATTAAAACAAAGTGAACCAAAAAGAAAAAGGATCAGAACAGCCTGAACATGGCATATCTAAACTCTTGCCACTTACGAAAATGACGTTTTATAGGCTGGAAGGAGAGGAGGAAAAGAGAAAAGAAGTAATGCATGACCCTCACACCTTTTTTTTTAAATTAAGTGAGCCGATATACAGGAAACAGCAATATAGCTTAGTTGTACTGAAACTTTAAAATACTTTTATACATTGTTTCTAATACCAAACACACAGGTGACAAAGAGCAGCAGTTTTCTGCTTTGTGCTTTGACATCCTCAAGAAGTGTAGAGATCTAAAGGAAAAAAAGCAAATTTAGACTGTGAGATTGAGTGTAGGCTTTCTGAAGAGGAAGAAAAATGTTCAATATCTCCTAGCCCTTCAGGGGACAAAGCTATCAAGACACTGGGAAAGCATCTGGGAACAGCATGTACACTCCTGAAGGGATATGCAAGACTTCAAGGATGAGGGGATGCAGCTATCCCACAACTACCAATGAACAGGAATTCATTGAGAATTACTGTAGAGAGGAGCATTACCTGTATGAGAGGATGAGTAATGCACAGGGAGAGCACAGCTGTCTAGGCCCATTTCAGGAGGGTGACAGAAAGACGTCCACAGAAGTATAGCTCTCTGTATGATGGGATACTGCCTGGGAACTGCTGACTGCAGCACTGGCACTTTAAACTCCACATTTTTATCGGCACAGAGTGTGGGACTGTAGGATCAAAGCATGTCATCAGATTCAAATCCACTAAGATGGTTTTGCAGGAGGCAGGAAAACAAGATCCAGTTTTGAAACTGCCTTCTCATGTAATTATTTTTTTTTCTTTTCTGGTTTTATTTCCTTGTTTGTTTGTTGGGTTTTGTTAGTTGGTTAGTAATTTACTTGAAATAATCCTGAGTGTAAGCATTTCCTGCTCCTACGGGACTTAAAATGAACTGAAGAGCTATTTGCAGAGAACACACCATGCTGAGTTTGCTGTCCTTTGAGGTAGGGACCTTGGACCCTTCTCATCCATCTCAAATAGAGCTACAATTTATTTCTTTATGATTGTTTGCAGTGGTTACAAAATTAGGGTTATTTGCTTTACTGTACAATACCACAAGACAGTTTTGTTCATGACAGTCTATATTTACACACCTTGTGTTTGCTCAGAACTGTAAAGCAACAACATGAAAACAATCAGCTACAGAATTTATGACACTCTCCAGGCGACAAAAGTCAATCAGCTTTTGGCCTGCTGCCATAACAGAACTGGTTACATCCAGAAAGAGCCACCCCAATGTGAGACTTGTCATCAGGGCATGGTGATTAATGATCTATTTCCATGTGTGCTGCACAGTGAAGACCACAGGAGATGTCAGTGGAAAAATAGAAGAGTGCACAGAAGTTTTAATGGTGGAAAGCATAACAGACTGGATGGACTTTTTTTGTTACTTTGTCTTGCTTCTTTTTGATTCATAATACAAGAGCACTATCCAGGCAAATAAATAAGCTCCAAAACAGCATATAATAAAGCATCATAGTCAAAAGCATGATGATGGGAAATCTCTCTCTTTCTCTGTTAACTGGAAATGCCAATACATGACTAATAATGCAACCTGATTCAATGTTATTAAAATAGAGAATATGCTTAGTTTTGTTGTCTTCTACATTATATGATACAGTAAAAAGTTTTAAAAATGTATGTATATAATCCTCCACCCAAACCCTTTCAATGAACAAAAACCTTTCCTATAAAACCTTTCCTATAAAACCTTTCAAAATAGCCATAGTTTGGGAAGTTAAAAACAATTTAACTAAAACTTCTAAATCATTAAAAATCCTCATAACTTGTCAGTTCTATTTAATAAACTGTTGTTGCCCTCTAGTGTTCGAACACAGCTTGTAAGGGCCCCTCCAGAAAGATCCAGACTGGTCAGCTGTCAATTAATTCCCTGTTAGGTCTTAATCCAACATGACCAATGGATAGGAAAAATAATTTTTCAACAGTGTTTCAGTACACCTCCCTAATACCTTATTTTCTTTACTGGAGCATAAAAGAAGATCTTTCATGTAATGACTTCTAAAGCTGTTTTACTCAAATGTTGTGAAAGGCCACTGAGGTCAGCATCCTCACCAAATCAGGTATGGTGCTGGAGCACCTCTCAGCTTTACCTCTGCCATTCACTGTGCTGGGTGTGCACTGCTGCTTGGGCTGGAGGGCAGATCCCAATGACATGGGCCACACTGAGTAACCAGAGAGTGCTTTGGCTTGGAAGGGATCTTAAGGATCAGCTCATTCCAACCCTTGGCCATGGGTAGGGACACCTTCCACTATCCCAGGCTGCTCCAGGCCCTGTCCAACATGAGCTTGGACACTTCCAGGGATGGCGCAGCCACAGCTTCTCTGGGCACCCTGTGCCAGGGCCTTGCCACTCTCACAGGGAAGAATTTTTTCTCAGTATCACCTTCTCTTTTAGTTTAAAGCTATTCCCCCTTGTCCTATCGCTGCATGTCCTTGTAAAATGCCCCTCTCCAGATGAATACATGACCTGTGCTCTGAACAACCCTGAGATACATCTGCTGGTTTCTCTTGAATATTTTGCTACTGTAATGTAACCATATCAATTAATACCAACCACCTTTCCCTCCAACAAATTATTTCTTGCAGCAGAAATGCACAGTGAGCATTCAGGGGTTGTTCTCAGCACCTCTCCTGCTGTGATGACACCAGCAACATAGAAAGCTTCTCATGAAGGTTGCAGTTCTTAGGAGAGAAAATTATGGTGAACCTCAGATCTGCATCTGCATTTTTACAGCTAGGACTAGTACTTATCATTCTGTGAACTCACTTCCCAAAAATGTTCCTCCTTGTTATGTTCCTTGACAAGAAACCTCGAAAAAAAAGAAAAGAAAAGAAAAGAAAAGAAAAGAAAAGAAAAGAAAAGAAAAGAAAAGAAAAGAAAAGAAAAGTTAAAAAGAAAAGAAAAAAAGAAAGTTAAACAAGTCACAGTCAAAAAACAAGCTGATAAATTTGTGGTACGTTTCTTCGGTAATTTTGGTCACTTTTAAGAGGTTATCCAGACTACTTTTCTTTTAACCATTGTCAGACTTCAACAATGTAGCAGACCTGCTGTTTTTATATATATAAAGCAATTTGCAGCCTCCATATACTAAGAATTCAAGTTCTTGACACAAGGAACACTGACTTTTCTTTGATCTCTGAATAAGGGAATTTTCAGAGAATTTTCTGCATTTAGTTATTTAGAGCTTTCAGAAAACTTGCCTTGAGGCCATTTTTTGGATCACACCTGCTTCCCACCACACTAAGCTCGACAGATCTAAGAATCTTTTGGATGTGAGTCAAATTTCATATTTTGTAATAGAATTGTTTCCTTGCATTTGTGAGGCACCCTTCCTTTTCTGCTGTGACATTTGTTGTTGATCATGCCACCTGACACAAACACTTTGAAATCTAGCCTTTCATTCTAAAACCAGGTTTACACTGACTGCACATGAAGGGAAATTTAAATAACATGAACTGGAAGTTGTGTGGCAGTAGATGCTCCCACTTACTCTCCCTGTTGAAGTGTCAGGAAAACATAAAATCATAGAGTTGTTTAGGTTGGGAAAAAACTCTAATATCAAAATAATTGTCCATGCTTATTACCAGTCACATGAAGGGCATGCTAGAAGTGAAGAGGGTGTGCTTTGAGAGCACTCACATTTGTAGTACGTAGTTTTAAGGATACCTGTGATGTATGCAGAAGAACTTTAAAGATATGTATATAAGCGTAAACTATATTTAGATAAGGAAAATTAAATTATGCCATATGTAATATATTTTTTTTCCTGTTTGAACCTAAAACCATTTGGATGCAAAGCTCTATTACTAAGTACTCCTTTAAAGCTACAAATAGGGTAAATAGGATTGCCAGGCAATTGTGTAACACTCCAGCATTTGATGCAAATAGCACTGAAAACACCCATGTGCTGCACAGGTACTCAATTTATTAGGTGTACTTCAATTTCACTAATCTTGTCACAGTACAGATTAAGCTCATGAAATGCTTTTTCTCCTTAAATATAAGATCTTCTTAGCTTAACTTGGATTTAGATGTTTACTCTCAGGATTTAGGAATAAATCAAAAATGACAGACATTATAGTTCAGCACAGACAGAGCATTCCTTCTCACCACCAAACCCATCTCCTGTCTCCTGCTTTCCCATTAGAGGCCAAAAAAGGAATCCATCCTCTTCTGAGATTTCAATATCTACTGTTCTATTTCAGAGTTCTCCTCTCAAAAGTGAGAGATGCTCCTCAAAATTTTATTCCCTCTCCCAGTCAGACATCAGCATACATTCCATTGATCAAATAATCCAACTTGGTGTAATGCCTCTTCTGAAGAGATTCATGGATTTTCTTCCCTGTCAGCACAATAACTAAGAGCAGAAATATCACCCCAAAAAACAAAGCTGCTATTAGGCTGCTTTTTTCCCCCAGCTGAAAGACACCTTTCCCTCTCAGAACACCTTCTGACAGGGAGCTTTCTGAGTCAGATGGGTCATAACCCCAAAGGTCATTTTGGGAAGATGCGGGGGAATCACTGGACAGAATGAAACCTGGAAAAGAGTGGAGGGTCACATGGCTGGTGTCATTGGAAGAGACAACTGTTGGCTCATTAGCCATGGCTGGAGTCCTTAGCCCTGACAGGGCAGTATCAGATCCAGAATTGGTGGTCACCTGTACAGTTATAGAAGGAGAAGCAGAATTTGTGGGCTTGGAAAGAGGAACATGAGTAACAGTGATGCTGGTGGCAGGGACAGCAGGTTGAGCTGCAGTGGCTGCAGCAGGTGGAGAGGCAGCTGTGGTTGGTTTGGCAGCAGCAGGATGCAGAGAGGTTGTAAGAGACTCCATCTGGGCAGTGCCTGTCAGCAGAGGAGCAAGAGAAGCGCTGCGGGTTTCAGGGATGCCCGCCCGAGGAGTGGTGGGGAAGGAATCAGTGGGGTTTCCAACTGGAGCAGCAGAAGGCTTGCGTGGTGGCACATTAATTACCTGCTGCCCTGAGATGGGGTCTAAGCTCTCAGATTCTCCTGCTCTTTGAGATTCAGGAGACACTGTATGAAGTTCCATGTTGTCCAGATGCTTGCCTATGTGGTTCAGGAGTTCAGAGGCCTGATGAAAGACAGACTGCTCCAAACTGGCAGTGTGATTCTGATGGATATCCTGACTGTGAGAAATAAAGGTTCCAGCATCCGAAGACAAAGGATACTCATTTGTAGAAAAGTTCTCAGTTTTGATGGATTTATCCTCTAGGGCATGAATGTCTGGAAACAGAAATATTGGTATTTAATTATTAAATCTATTTTTGACTAATGTAGGCATACTCTATTTGTATTTCTTAGAAATATTTTTGTAAGGGGGCTCTAAGAGATAAGGACTAATGAAACTTCCTTTCTTTAAAATATGCACAGTGACATTTAAATTCTATGTTATAAAGGCTGTCAGCCTCAAGCCTAGTCACATAACAGTGTTCTGTGCAGAAATACCAGACAAATAATAATCCTAAAAGCTATCTGATTTTACAGTATTTTTTCTACAGTATTTACCTGATTTACAGGTATTATAGAAAATATTTGGCTGAGCATGAGCTGTTGGAAAGACAGGCTAATTGTCAATTAATGTTATATATATAATTTTATAATTTTATAATTTTATTTATAAAAATATAGAAATATGTGTAATATATTCATGATAACCATTCAGCTGCTGCACAGAACATTTAAAAGGGAACATGCTTTCAAGTAGTTCTGACTCTCACTCATCTCTTTTTAATATTGAAACAAAAAGGTTTGTTAAATGCACTGGAATTGAAATAAATAAAGAAGTATCTTTCCCACTTTCAGCCTGCTTTTCAGTGTAACCACATACAGCTTCTCATATGAAAAAAGAAAGTTTGAAACATTTGTTGCTACTGACACTGCTCAGGTGCTACCTTTGAAAACTCAGCAGGAAGATTAAACCAGCTAGCATAATCTTTCCACAGTTAAATGTTCACAGAAGATCAAGTCTCCAAAAAGAAAAAGGAGTGCTAAATGCAATCACATTGTTCACTCAGCATTGCATTACATGCTGCACAAAAGCACAAGCAGGATTGCATTTCTTGTTTCTTTGTTTGAAACCCCAATGTTCTTCTAAGGGAGAAAGAGCTGGAGGGAATTGTAATTTTAGTAATAGTTTCACAGAAATGCAGTTCATTTGCAGTTCATTGCTTTTGCATGATCCCTGTGAGACTGTGCTTGCACAAAAATACTTGGTAACATTACATGAGTAATCTTTCTATATATAAAACTGTTGCTCTTTGCATAGCTCTTCTTGGAAAGGTTTGATCTCTCAAGCAGCCATACAGAAACCACCTTGCCAGGACAGTATAGTTATCAGTTTCTTATCTGAGCTGTTCAAACAGGTCTGGTGCAAGTCAATGTCAATCAACAAGTAGGCCTTGCTGATAAAAAAAACCAGCATAGGCCAGAAAGCAAGAAATTCCTGTGTGCAGCAGCCCACATGCCATAACGCTCTGAGATTAGAAAGTTTGCTTCTGCACTTCAGGTTCCCTAACTGAATGCAGAAAACAATGATTATTTATTACTACTGCAATTATTCATCAGTGTAGCATGGGCCCTTTAAATACACAGCTGGCTACAAAAGCATGGTATTTCCATTGGTTTTCATTATACTTTTCAGTATTATGTACAGGAAATCTTCCTTCCTGACTCTATCTAGATAGAAGCAGCTTCTTTTTGTTTTAAGCAAGGACAAATTATGAGGATTTATGAATCTGATGTGAAGGAATATTATAAGGGTTGGGACATTATTCCAAGCTGGAAGCTGGGCCCACAAAGGAGCTCACCACAAACCTGCCCATCCATCCTCCACAATGAAAGAGAGCAATATTTTAAAATCATAATGCTTGGCTTAGAACACTTTACTAAAAATACGACCCCCAAACAGTTCCTGGTCACTACTGAAAGTTCACAGGTGCGAAAGTAATTTTGCAGTGTGGTGTGGGGGCTGATGGCTCTCACTATTATTTACCTGTAGTTATCTTGTAGCTCACAAGTCCTGTTGCAGGTTTCATTGGACAAGCCTCAGCACTAGGACAGTAAAACAAGTAGCAGTTTGGATGTGTACTTGTTCTTGCAGCATAAAAAATAATCAAATTACACTTCTTGTCTCCTGCAAAACAAAGTAAATGCCTGTTTCAGCAGTAAGAACTTTTATAGCAGTATGGTAATGAGATCTAGTTTGTTAACTTTTGCTCATGTGAGTAAGAGGAAAACTACTAACACATAACTTTCCTACAGGAAAAAAACGCCAAGGACTGCAGAAGAATGGCCCAGGGCCAAAATATGAAAGGTCACACCTTCCTTTTCCTGTACAAATAAAGTTGGGGAAATTATGAGTCTAATCTCTCATCCTCCCCTCACGCATACCACACTGGCACCACTTTATACAACAATTGCTCGCTTACAAATCCTGATAAAGCTGAAAACCTCCTCGATATACTCACGGGAAGAAAATGATTTAGACATTTTTCCTTATTACATCCCAGGAATCGCTTGGCTAGTTGCTGCTTTGGGGGGTCACCTTCACCGCTGTTATTTCTACTTGTTGCTCTACCTCCTTCTGCTCTGAGAGTTTGATTCAAATCATGTCTCACAGGAGGGTGAGCATTCTCATTTTTGGCTAAAATTAAATACAGTGCAAAACGTCAGCTACTTTTAGTGCATCTACTAAACACACCTTCCGGGTTCGGGATTTGGGAGGTTTTAATGCCTAAAACTAACGCTGTTTCTGTCATACAACTATCTTCCTGAACACTGCGGGGTCTTGCGTTAAGATCTAACATCTACTGGCAAAAGAATGTAGCAGCCGCAAGCTGGAACTAAGCGCAGCCTGAATGAGAGGGTAAATTCTGTGCTGAAAAGGGAGAACACCAGCAGCTGACCACCCCGCGAGCCCAAACTCCAGGATTACTCTCCCAGGCAGTGGCGTAGAAGGAGGCCGAGGTTACCTGCGAGCCGGTGCCCCGAGCAGCAGGCGCGGACACACGCACCCGCGCTGGGGACGCGCAGCGGCTCCGCGCCCCGGACGCCGCGGGGCAGCGACAAGTCTATATCGATGATGGAATTCTCCATCTTCTCCGCGGAGCACTCCTGGCTCAGAGCCGGCCCGGCCATCACGCAGGTGATCACCAGCAGGCGAACCGGCCAGCGGCTGCCCCCGCGGGACATGGTGACCCGGACCGGCCCCCGCGGGGCTCCTCCGGTACGGCCGGGGTTCGCGGCCAGCGGCAGCCGGGGGAGCCGCGCCGAGGGATCTCCGCTGCTCCCGGGGCGGGCACGCGTTCCTGGGACACCTTCGGGATACCCCCGCCCGCAGCGCGGGTTCGGGAAGGCAGCGGCGGAGCCTGGCCGGGCTCGGGACGGCGGCTCCGGGGAACCGCGGCTGTCCCGGCACGTCCGGGAGGAGGGGCCGTGGGAGGCGGGCCCGGGACGCGTGCTGCTCTCCTCCTGCCTGCCTGCCCTCCTCCTCCTCCTGAATTCCTGCTTGCTTGCTTACCTACCTACCTACCTGCCTTCCTCCTGCCTGCCTGCCCTCTCCTCCTCCTGGAATTCTTGCTTACCTATCTACCTGCCTTCCAGCCTGCCCTCCTCCTCCTCCTGGAATTCCTGCTTACCTACCTACCTGCCTTCCTCCTGCCTTGCAGCCTGCCCTCCTCTCTTGCTTCCGTCTCACTGCCCGCCATTCTCCTGTCCCATTCCTGCCTTTTCTCCTGCCTTCCCTCCTTCTCCCTTGCTTTCCTCTTCCTGCCCTCTGCCTCCTGCCTGACCTTCTCCTGCCTTCCTCCCGCCCTCCTCCGGCCTGCCCAGCGGGGCTGCGAGGGTATTCCTGCTCCTACAGCCACTTGCCGGCACCAAGGGTCCTTTCCTGAGCATCAGACACAAAGGCAAAACCACCTAGAGAAGCTCTTTACCCACAGTCAGACTTTTCCTCCACCTGATATGCTTTTGGGAGCTGTAATGAAAGCGATTAATATGCATATCCTGGACAAAACGGACGTGGACATATTTCCATGTGTGTGTAAACGACTCCTTGCTACCTGAGTGATCCTGTTCAAATCATAACCAAGCACAAGATGTTTGTGGAATGGGCAAAAAAATTAACAAAAAATCTTATTTACTGGGACCCTGACTGGTGTCTTGGCCATTCTTCTGTCAGCTGTCTCAGTGCAAATTGTCATGTTTTTGCTTGGAAATTTTTCATTTTCTCTCTTTTTTTTTTTTTTTTTCTTACTATTTGGGGGTAGTGTTTAGGAGTAAAAGTAGACCAAAGGAGTGCAAAGAGTGAAAGGATTATGAGACAAATTCCTTCTTTTTCAGGAAAGAGACCGTTTTCTTTTCAGAGATGTGCATTACCTGAAGAGATCCCAAAGGGCAGGTTAGTTTATGTATTATAATGGTCAGATGCCAAGGCATGGGTGGCTGTCTTGTTTTTCATGCCCAGTCAGTCCCCTTTGTCAATACTGCTGGGTGTTGGCTTTTATTTGGACATGAGTGTTGTAAGAGACTGAGCCCACCATCTCATTTTGCATCACATGGCCATCTTGTGGCAATTCACAATGTTTGTTTGTGATTCTCGCAGTCTTGGTGGGATGGTTTCTTCTAAAATTTTCAGCTGCACTTGTTTAAGAAAATGTTCCTTTCTAGCCCTCTTTTGGTAAACTGGTAACATTATTTTCACTGTAAAAAGAAAAAGTCCCAAGAGAATCTGAACATTAAGGTGTTGCCTACTAACTGTATCACACAGTGAATGAGCAGGGGAATGAAGACTAAATAAAAAAGCAAGCACAGGTATCACCCCTGCTATATATTAGACAAAATCGCAGCTTCTACCTGCCTTTGCTTATGTAGAGGTGGTGGAAGAAGCCAAGCAGAAAGTAGCTGAAAAATAAGGCTACAGGTCTGGCTGAGGTGGTCAGAACAGCTGAGGAAAGTGTTTTTTCAGCTGAACTGTTGGGATGGTCAGTGTGAGAATGTGCACAGAGACTGCTGTGGTCAGAGAGGCATAGGTGACCATGGGAAAATGAGAAGGGCTGATGTCATCTATAATATAAGCAGGGCATAAGAGATACTGGGGATAACATGACTGCCCCACTCCAGCCACCATGGCAAATTTCTGCTCTTCCTGGTGGGGCAGGCACTCAGTCTCCCTGGGGAGACCAGAAGCAAAATGGTCAGGCTGCTGAGGTGCAGGGAAGCCAAGGTCCATCAAAAGCTATGCGGAAACCACATCCACTGAGCCAGGAGAGAGCCAGCCTTGCCCAGCAACTGCTGACTTCCCTTACTACTGCAGTGGGAAGAAAGGGAGGCTGAGAGAGGGAGAATGGTGGGACACTATTAGCTCTTAGACATAGTTCTAGGTCACTAAGGGTGTTTTCTGTAGAGCATCTCTCTGCTTTAGAGCCAGTACCCTAAATGGTGAAATGCTCAGGCACAGATAAGATGAACCTCTATTGCAATCTATTCTAATATGTTGCAAAAGTACCTAGTGCAGCATACAGCCTAAATCTAGCAGCAGCTTCTGTTGGGTTGGGATTGCCTTCCCACAGCCTGGATCCCAGTAACACTGCTGAGGTGCAGTCCTCAAGATATAGGAGCACCATTATTGTGTGAGATTAAATCTTGGTGGAAATTAGCAAAGGCAGCCAAGAGAAATGGTGCCGAGTTCAGTGCAGAGCTTTGGCTGACGTTGGGCTTTGGGTGTGAGCAGAGAACAGAACAGGCGTGTTCAGAAACCAGCACAGACCAGGGCAGCTCTTATTTATAGACAATTCTTCTGTCATAGGCGTGATGTGTTTGCTGATTTGACTGTCAAATATGAAAACAGTAAGGCTCAAATCTCTATGTTTCTTTCTCATTTACACTAGTGGTTTTTTGAGTTTTTAAATCTTGTTTTCCTAAGCCTGAGCTGCCTGTGGACTTTTGATCTGGTCTGCTTTTCCCTCACTCCTGGCACATGGGTATATAAGGGCTGCTGGTGATGGGTGTTGCCCACACTACTCTGCTCTGTGCCCAGCACTTTGGGGTTTGGCAGGTTTGCCTTGGTACAGAAGAATGAATACATTTAGTTTTAAAAAAATCACAAAATCACAGAATTGTTAGGGTTGGAAGGGACCTCTGGAGATCATCTAGTCCTGCCTCCCTGCCAAGGCAGGATCACCCAGAACAGGTGGCACAGCAGCCCACATTCCAGGTGGCTTTGGAATTTCTCCAGGAGGGAAGACTCTACAACCTCCCTGGGCAGCTGTTCCAGTGCTCTACCATCCTCAATGGGAAGTTTTTCTTCATGTTGAAATAAAACTTCTCCTATTCTAGTTTATGGCCGTTGCTCCTTGTCCTATCACTGGGCACCACTGAAAAGAGTTTGGTTCCTCTTCTTGGCACCCCCTTTAAGATATTTATCTGCATTAAAGAGATCCTCTCTCAGTTGTCTCTTCTCCAGACTAAACAGGCTCAGCCCTCGCAGTCTCTTTGTAGCAGGGGCATCTTACCCCTCACAAGAACTTATGTGTTAACTGATCAGACAACTCAAACAGGACAAGCTGTCTTGTAGTGGGTCATTTTGGGGCCATAGGGTTAACATGGGTCTGTCATCTCCCAAATGCCAATAAATATCTCACTGTCCAAAGGGAGATCTGGAATGGGCTGGTGGGCTGTGATCAGTGGTTGGACATACCCCCTACAAGAATTACCTTTTCCTAATTGGAGCTGATTTCAGCACAAATACTGAGCATCCCTGGCCGGGCCAGGGAGGGGATTGTCCAGCTTTGTTCTAGGCTGGGGCAGCCTCAGGTCAAATATTGTGTGAAGTTTTGGGTGCCACAATGTAAGAAAGACATAAAGCCATTAGAGAGTGTCCAAAGGAGGGCACGAGGACGGCGAAGGGCCTTGAGGGGAAGGCGTGTGAGGAGCAGCTGAGGGCACTTGGTCTGTTCAGCTGCAGGAGACTGAGGGCAGACATGGCAGTCACAGCTTCTCCTGAGGGGAAGAGGAGGGGCAGGCCCTGAGCTCTGCTCTCTGGGACCAGCGACAGGACCCGAGGGAACGGCTGGAGCTGGCTCAGGGGAGGCTCACACTGGATAACAGGGAAAGGTTCTTCCCGCAGAGGGTGTCGGGCACTGCCCAGGCTCCCCAGGGAATGGTCACGGCCCCGAGGCTGCCAGAGCTCCGGGAGCGTTTGGACAACGCTCTCAGGGATGCACAGGGTGGGACTGTCGGGGTGTCCGTGCAGGGCCAGGGGTTGGACTGGATAATTCTTCTGGGTCCCTCCCACCTCAGGATATTCGGTCGTAGGTTCCTTTTAAAAGAAAATATAACTTGTCCGCTAACATCGAGGAGCACAGAAGGGGACACAGCACTACAAATAGTGGCCTCACTAGGGCCGAGCAGGGAGGAGGAGCATCTTCCGTTGCCACACAGATCTGCCATGCTCTGCCGCCCTCCGAGGCCGCGGCACGCCGACACTGACGGGGCAGAGCCGAGCAGCCCCGGCCCCGCGGCCCCGAGCGGGGCCCCGCCCGCCGGGCGGAGCCGCCTGACCCGGCGCAGCCGGAACCCCGTGGGCGGCGGCGGCCCCCGCGCTGCGGCGGGCGGGGGACGGAGGCACCGCCATGGGCGCGGAGCAGAGCGCCGAGGCCGAGAGACGCCCGGGCGAGCCCAGCGCCGCAGGTCGGTGCCTGGCGGGGAGCGAGGGCGCGGGGCTGTGCCGGCACAGCGGCTGTGGAGAAGGGCACGGCTGTTTCCTTGGAAGGGACAGCGGCTGTGGAGAAGGGCACGGCTGTTTCCTTGGAAGGGACAGCGGCTGTGGAGAAGGGAAGAGCTTGGAGAAGGGAAGGGCTGTTTCTCCGGGAGGCAGCGGCAGCGCGGCCCGGCCCTTCCTGTGACGGCGCGGGGGCACCGCCCGGGCCGGGGGAGCAGAGCCGGGGATGGGGAGCGCCCCGGGCGCGGTGCGGAGCTGGCGGGCTGTCCGTGCTGCAGGTGCTCCGGAATCAGCTCTTCCCCGCTGGGGACAGGAGCTTAGAACCCTTCAGTGATGTCGGCAATGTGCTATAAAAAGCATACCTGTGCAATAATAAATAGAGCAATATTCGCGTAGGGTTGGATTCTGATGTAATCTGCTTGTAAAGTTGATTATGCCCTCTCTCTCCAATATCCAGCATCTCCGTTGCCAGCCAAGCAACGAGCAAAAATGGACGACATTGTGGTTGTAGCCCCAGGAACACAATCCTCACGGAATGTCAGCAATGATCCAGATGTCATAAAACTGCAGGAAATTCCAACTTTCCAGCCCCTCTTGAAAGGTAAGTGTTTGTTCTTGCTCTGTTTTTAAATGCCTTCTTTTTTTGTACCTAATGGCATTTGTGTGTCCCGAGGTATCTACTGAAGTTCATATTTCTGTCCTTATTTTTCACTTCCCCTCTTGTTTCAAACCTTACTCTCTTTTGTTATGCCATGATTAATCCC